GGCAGTCTTTTTGGGCTCTCCATCTTCTAACGTTACACTCAGTAACACCATATTTCTTTGCTGCTCGACAGTTGTTTGATGACTCTGCTTCGTTGATCACCATTATCTTAAAATTGGCATCGTAACTTCACCTCTCTTGATTGATAACTCGGCTACTTTTGAGCCACGCTGTTCGAGTTGGTCTCTAGCTCTCTCCTGTTGCTGTTACCGTACTTTAAGACAGCGTCTCGCTTGGGGGAACACTCGTTTGACTCGATCTGTTGTTGTGACTGTGTAATTACATCGAAAACTCTAAACCCCGAATTTAAGACGACCCCTCTTTTCCAGATTGTTTTCTATGAAAAAGAACCCGTCTTATATTCGGGTCAATACGGTAGTTGTGACCTCCCTCCCTCCGTTAAAGTATCCCGAACAGACACTTCTGCAGTGGTTTTCATGTTATAGCTCAGTAACTCAAACATATCCTGATACAAAGGTTTGCAAATCTAATGAAAAGAAGTGGTTTGTTTCCTGTGTTTTCCTACAAATGACCCGCCCCATTTGTTCATTTCCAAATAGTCTTTTCAAAATATACTTCTGTCTTAACAGGAAACATCTAACTTAGATTTGCACAAAAATGCTGCGTAAAGTTTAGAGAAAGATCATGGTTTGCGTTAAAGCAAATACTGATAAGCTTACGAAATTGTATGCATATATCGTTTTGGATAGGTTAACAATATTTTACATTAAGACAAAATTAAACACGGTTTATTGCGGTGATAACTACTTATATAAATAAGAAAGCTGATAAATCTAAGGGTTTTGAGGTAGTTAGAAAAAACAAACAAATGCACTCAATTCTGACTGGGATTAATTTTCTTTCCTGGTCTTTTTCTTTTTCTTCTTCCTCTTCTTCCTCTCAGGTGTCCAGTGCCGGGTTGTGACGGGCAGGGTCATGTGACGGGGAAGTACGCGTCCCACCGCAGTGCGTCGGGCTGCCCCCTGGCGGCCAAGCGGCAGAAGGACAGCTACGTGAACGGGTCGCAGTTCGTCTGGAAGTCGGGGAAGACGGACGGCATGAGCTGCCCGACGCCCGGCTGCGACGGGTCGGGACACGTCAGCGGGAGCTTCCTCACGCATCGGAGGTGGGCGTGGCTCTGTGTCATTGGCTACTGTTTTAGTTTAAAGATAAGATAAGATAGGACTTTATTTATCCCGAAGGAAATTGTGGTGTCATTGGCTAAAACAAACATTTAACATAACAGCACGATCACTGAGAGGAAACATGCTCAAAGAGCCTTTAGCGTGCATTTGATCTGGATTCAGCTCTGTATTTACTTTGAGTTTTCATTGGAAGATAGGATAAGATGGGCGTGGCTCTGTGTCATTGGCTACTGTTTTCATTTAAATGTGCTTATGCAGATGATATGCTATTATAATAACAATGACTTCCTAGGCAGTAGCTGTTCATTTGTACTGTATGAGCTACATGACCAATAATAATGGGAAATTACCAATATGCAGAATATAAAATACAAAAACTGATAATTTATTGATCAGTTATTAGAAATGTACTTGTAGTAGTAACACAGACAATTTGATTTGAACGCTAACAGACTATAAAATAAGTGGAATTGTCGTTGAAAGTTTAATCAGCTAGCACAGATTTCTACATTTTGCAGCAAATTGATAACCCATAGCAGTCAAGTTTTCGTCAATGTATGCCTGTGTGTGTGTGTGTGTTTTATTCCAGTCTCTCTGGTTGTCCCCGTGCCACCTCGGCCATGAAGAAGGCGAGGATGAGCGGCGTGGAGATGCTGACAATCAAGCAAAGAGCAAGCAAAGGTCAGAGTCAAACGCAATAAAAACAATTAAGAAAAAAGAAGAAGAAAAATCGCAGCTTCTAAATCCGATCACATGTTGTTTTTGGTGTCAGGCATCGAAAATGATGAAGAAATCAAACAGCTGGATGAAGAAATCAAAGATCTGAACGAGTCCAACAATCAAGTGGAGTCCGACATGTTAAAACTGAGGACACAAGTAAGACCCTTTTCGACTGATTCAGATAAATAAATTAGGTGTATGGGTTGATGCTCCTTTGGAAACCGGATTCAAATAAACCAGAGTCTAGTGACGGACTGAACATGTGTATTAACTGTTTAACTATTGTCAGTATTAAGTGTTTAAAACGTTAATATAGAAACATATTGTAAAGGTAATCTCACTAAATCAGATGCAGATGATGCAGCCTTTTACATGGAAGAGCTTGCAAAATATCTCAAATTCTTAAAGATCAGCCGGCCATTGTTCACCAGATATGAAGAGTAAACAAGGCTTTAATCAAAACAGGTTTATATATAAATAGATATTCAATCTCTACTCAGAATAAAAATGTACAGGAAAGAATAAGAACGTGACAAACTACTGTGAAAACACATGTGCAGAAAAGTGGAAGAACTGCGCAGTTTCAAAAGTGGTCGTATTGTTCAAAATGTGCAAAATTATAAAAAAAGTAAATGCTACTGACAATTGTTTTCCTCTCATGGCAGATCACCTCGATGGAGACGAACCTGAAGTCCATCGAGGAAGAGAACAAGGTGATCGAGCATCAGAACGACTCGCTGCTGCACGAGCTCGCCAACCTCAGCCAGTCGCTCATCAACAGCCTCGCCAACATCCAGCTTCCACACATGGTGAGAGCAGAGGTGGGAAGTAGTGGAGTACAAATACTTCGTTACTGTACTTAAGTACATCTTTCTGGTATCAGTACTTTACTCCACTACTTATTATCTGACGAGTTTTTACTTTTACTTCTTACACACAGTTGAACACAAATACCTGTACTTTCTACTTCTTACATGTTGAACACAAATACCTGTACTTTCTACTTCTTACATGTTGAACACAAATACCTGTACTTTCTACTTCTTACATGTTGAACACAAATACCTGTACTTTCTACTTCTTACATGTTGAACTCAAATACCTGTACTTTCTACTTCTTACATGTTGAACACAAATACCTGTACTTTCTACTTCTCTCATTTCCCAAACAGGCTGGTTCCTTTAGTCTGAATGTGTGTTTGGTGGCGTGATCATTATTATTTAGAGTCATTGCGTGCCTATTGATTTGAACACGATCCGTGTATCCATCATTTCCTGGTCTTCTCTAAAGAAGAGGGACCAATGAAAACGTTGTCATGTTGCCGTTGGTCACCATGGAAACATTCATTAGCTAACAATGACATTATTGTTCTATTAATATAAAGGGAGGTCAGGTACTCTTTAAAACAGCTGCTAGTTATGGGTACTTTTTACTGAAGTACATTTCAAAGCCCATACTTTGACTTGAGTAAAGAAGTTTAGTCAGTTCTTCTACTTTCACCAGAGTATTTTTAAACACGAGTATCTCTACTTCTACTTGAGTAAAGGATGTGTGTACTTTTGCCATCCCTGGGTAAGAAACATCTTAAATAAGATAAGAAGTACTTTATTGATCCAAATTAGGGAAATGTTTGCGTTACAGCAGCATAAAAGGAAAAGGCATTGTACATAAGAGAAATTAAAAGACTATAAATAAACATTCCAAAATGTAATCATCTCAAATAGAAATAAAATAGCATGAAAAAAGTTAGAAATATACATGTGGAAATACAAATTTACAGCAACAAAATAAAAAGCAGGATATTATTTATACATTAATTGTGCAAGAAATTGATTATTAAATATTAGATTGAATATAAATGTAAAATGTACAGTGGGAGTTTAAGTCCAGTGATCCAAGAGAAGCTATATGCACCTCGATGGTACTCTTTTTTTTAAACCATTCAAATGACTTCATTGTAATGGCTTTGTCAACTTAGACCTTGAGCTGCGTTTGTGCATCAAGCCTTGGAGGAGTAGTAAAAGAAAATGATTTTTGATATGAAACATTTAAAAGCTTAGCAAGAAATATATACTATAATATAGACTCATCAGCTTTGCCTTCGATTAATTTCTGACAAATGATATCCTACAGATCCTGACAGATGAGGTTAGGGTTAAAAGAGTGGTAAACATATCAGTCATATTTTGTTGCTTTTCCATTGAAGAAAGTATACGTTTTATGACTTAATAATGTACTAAATATTGTATATATAGTATATTATCCGATGGATCTTCTGTTAGATGTCTTTCTGTGTCTTGCCTTTAGCCCTATTTTAATGACATCTCTTGTAGGACAGTACAGACTCACACTTATCTGATGCCAGCTAACATCTGCGAAGGATTTTAATTGAAGTCTACAACAACACTCAGGGTTTTTTCCTCATCTGCTTCTTTCTGTTCGCCACCTTCTTCTTTTTTCCCAGCGGTCCATGCTGTGCTTCTTCTTCTGTGCTTTACAACGCCTCACAGAGTTTCACATTAACAAACGGCCTCGTCTCTTTTCAGTTTGAGTGATGGCTGTTTTTACATCATAATGTCTCAGTGAGAAAGAAGACTGGGGCTAATTGGATAATCTCTTGTAACATAGTGTAACCCTAACGTTATCTGGTAACTAAAGCTCTTTTGCTTTTGTCCTTCTGGTATTGGGGGACAGCACATTCAGTTTTACCAAGTCATTTGATCTTTATCCCTCCTGAAACCAGGAATATATAAATATATATAGCTGCATCTAGATTCCTCAGATTTGTTGATTTGCGTTGGAAAAAAAACAAGTATGCTTATGCTAAGGCTTAATTCACACTTCTAGACTTTGTGTAAGCGTTCAGATGTACTCTAGGATAGGTATTTTAGTTTTAGGGCTCAAAAAGAGTCTTTTGTTTTCAAGATTCATAGTTGTGAAAGCTCTCAGCCGCAGTTTGAACAGAGCCGGAGGGATAATGACTTGTTGAGGCGGACGTTTTGAGTTTTTTTTTCCTCAGTGTAGCGATGAAGCCTTGTGACGCCACTGTGTGTCCAGCGGGATAATAGACTTCTCTGTACACCCTCTCCTGTAGAAACCGCTGCCACAGAAAGAGGCCCCAGTAAAGCATAACTGCTGTTTACAGATGCCTCCCAGAGTAAGAGATCCATTTATCCTTTATCCAATTATCCTTCTCTTCTGCACTGTCATCCCTTCCCTCCCAACTACCCATTTAAACTGCAGGATACAAGAGTTTAGTGCAATTGTTAAACATTTGGATTTTGTACGAGACAGTGTCGTTACTTTCCACAGAAAGCAAGAAACACCAGACAATGAATATAGCCATTAGTTGTAAACCTTGAGGTGTTGAATTGTCTACTATGTACATCATCCTTTGAGAAGTTGAACAAAAAAGCACACAAGAAGGCAAAAGAAAGGGGCCCTATTATCGCTCCTTGAGGAATGCCACCATTTTGAAATATTTCTTTGCTTTTCCAAAGAAACAGAAATCTTGATTTCTTCCCAGTAGAACTTTCGAGTAAAACCTGTTCAAAGTTGTTTCAACACTTGTTTGCTTTGCACACTAGTGTTGAACTCAAACAGTAAGGCTAGTAATGAGGACGACAATTCTGTGTTTCTTAGACATTTCTTCACGTCCAAAACTCGCCGAACCTCCAGTTGTGTCTCCTTCATCTGCACATAAATCTTCCATTAGTTTTCAAAATCCTGATTTTGTCTCCATATGCTAAACATAAACCTTCCATCCATCCACTAGCCAACCATCCCTCTCCTGATTTGTGCATGTGTTGGAGTTGCTTTTCGTAGACTTTCACAGGATGAAGTATAGATATTAATCAAGAGATTTAAACGTTATTAAAAATGAAATATTTGTGTAAACAAGCCATGCTTCCCTGATGGTAATCCCTTCCTCCCTTGCTTCCCGCTTGTCCTCCAAACCTTTTCCCAAAATGTTTCACAGACTCTGATTCTGTCGAAAAACACAAACTCTAATCCCTCTGATTGTTTGTTTCTTCTTCATGGGTTTCTTTCCCCTCACAGGAGCCAATGAATGAACAGAACTTTGACACTTATGTGAGTACATTGACAGACATGTACACTCACCAGGACCAGTACCAGAGCCCGGAGAACAAGGCGCTGCTGGAGAACATCAAACAGGCCGTTCAGGGGATCCAGGTCTAGCCCTGGCTGAGGCCAAAATAACAAATGCAAAGCAAAAACAACAACAAAAAAAATCAAAAAGAGGGTTACGGGTTGTTTTTTGCTGCTGTAATCTACGATAGCTCTTTTAATTCTACTGCTGTTATGCTCTCAACTCCATGGGTATCTTTTTTTATCATTTTGATTGTCGTTGCCTTGCTTTGAAAAACAACGTTTTAAACGAACATTCACGTTTTGTACATTTTCATATGACCTAATATAATGTGATGTACTGTTTATAGCTGCTAATGTATGCACATTCTAGTGTATATGTATTTATTGTAAGCTTGAATCATTTCTTATTTTAACGCGAAAAAACTGGGCGTCACGGGTTACATGGGGAGCAGAAAGGAAAAAGGGAAAGCTGAAGAGCAATCATTTTTGAAAGGCTTTTCTCACGAGCTGAAAACAGGTCGTTTAATGGATGTAATTCATTGATATTTGTAATGTTTGAAAACAATATTACTGTAAATCTTTAGCTAAAGTAGAAGAAGAACCAATGCTTTAAGCAAGAAGATTTCAAACATCATGACACGGAAACTTACTGGTGCAAATCCCATCATCCCCTTCGGAGTTGTTTCGTTTTAAACCGTCGCTTTTCTTTGTTGGAGAACGAAGCGGAAAGACCAATGGCTACAGAAAACGTAGGAGACAATCTGCCATTCTGAATTTCTTTTAATCATCAACCTTGAACTAGCTAATAAGGCAATGTGTCAGCAATATTGGTACGATAATATAAAATTGTTGGTTTAGATATGGGATGCAATCTATATGAAAAAAAATGTTTGGGTATATGCAATTTCTTATGAATAAAACTAGCATAGAGCAGATAGATCTTTTTACTAACTATAAATGTATTGCGTTTTGTATAACCTTTTACTACAATCATGTTTTAGGAATCTGACGCGGGTGAAAGGACTTTGGTTCTGTCATGTTCGACTTTGCACAGGGACACCTTTGTTTCCATGTTTTGATGTTTTTATTGTCTATTAAGAGGCACTTGGCAGGCGTATGGATTTGTAGATATGATTTTTTCTATCTAAAGGCTGACGGCTCCACTGGACTTACAGGGTCAAACGTCCCCATCCATCATTGTATATTGCACTCGTTCTGTAGAAAACGTCTTTTCAATCATGCATCCTATTGTGTGAGACACAATGGGAAATGATGGCAGACGACATGATGACCAAGCAGCACTTTTTATTATTATCTTTGATTGTTATTGAAAAGATGAAGAAAAACTAAGCCAGCAGTCGTGAACGCGACGTCTGCGCACTGAATTTACCGACTGAGTATTTGATCTGAATCGGCCTTACGTTGACATTCAGTCTGAAATCACAGTACTGACTGAAAAATGTTTTCTGAACACCGTCGATCATGCATGCACTTTATTGGAGTTTGTCAAAGTATTATCACGTGGTAAATGAAGCAAAAACTGTACAGCGAGTTTGTGGAAACTGTGACTTTGACAAGACTTTGTGCTGGTGATTCCTGGATGAAAGAACCCTGAAACAGATTTAACTGAGAAGGTGAGTTATTTAAAGGACAACTCCCCCTCTGGTCCCCCTAAATTGTTAACCTCCACCACTTTAAGTTTATTTGAAATCCTCTCTAAAACATTACCCTTTTCTATAAGTATTGGAAAGGCTCCTTTTCTATCCACATTATTTATGGATTGTATTGCATTGGTTAATATAAGAACTGTTTCCCTTTGGTCAACCTGACGATAGAGAAATGTGAGGAGCTTGTTTCGGCTGTGTAGGGTTCCATGAAAGTAAAACTTCTGGGTAGACTATGTTTGGTTACTGTCAGTTCAATTGTCAAAAGATTAACAGCTATACTAGAGAACTATTTGAGTCGAAGGAACAAACCTGTCTTCGGAAAAGCTAACGGTGAAAGTGAACTGCAACTCCCAAAGTGCATTTTGGGGAAACACATCCAATCACAAAGTTTAAACCCCAGCTTTCCGTGCTCATCCTTAATGGCCCTAAGCCTTTGTGACATCTGGTTTACTCTCCATAGCAACAATGGTTATATTGAAATATTTAGACCCATCCACCATGACATATTGGCGGTGAAAGATTGCGATTTCTCAAAAGCAAAATCATCAATCTGGTTCAGTGTCGAACCTGAACCTTTTCTGAAAATGAGCTCAGTTGCAGATTTCCTACTTTTTTCAAAATGCGTTTCAATAGAGAAAGGGATCAAAAGTTGTTGCAATCGCTCAAATAATAAATATACAATTATATTTGCCCTGAGGTAGCCACCCCAAACTTTCCATGTGACAATATGTTCAGCATTTTGTTTTCTAAATGAAGTTAGGCTAGAAGACATCAAGAGTATTTGATAATTAGGGGCTGGTTGGGTTTGAAATACACACTTTAACTCACTTTATCTTGCTCAAATGTGTAGAAAATATGTATAAATATCATTTAAAAGACATTTAAGGTGTTAACCATCCTCAACTTTGATCAAATCATGAAGATTTAATTGGTGAGTGAGGAAAGGATCCGGTTTCCAATCAGTCCAGTTTCCCACAGGAAGGAAAAGCAAACGTCAGACGGCTAACTGGGGGAGTTTTCCTTTAAAGATGCGTCTTCTTTGGACTTTTACTGCAAAGCCTCATTCCCTGATTTCACATCTCTGTCCAAAGCTTTGTGTCTGCAGCTTCCTGCCAGTAAACCTCTGCATTAGATAGACTGACAGCTTGTATTTTTTATTTAGTGGGTTATTCTTAACTGAAAACAAAGGAGATGGGAGTTAAAGCACAATTCTGCCACTTAAAGACAATTCAATAGACTAGATATTGTAATATCAGATGTAAAAGCTAAACTGTAACTATTTACATAGAAAAATCTCAACACTAACATGTGACATGCTAGAATGCAAAATAAATCCATATGAATATTTGTGAAATCATCAGTTTATGAAAATGTTACAGTTTCTTTTGGGCGGTGCATTGATGAAGGGGTTTTTATACAACATTCATTTTCTCTCCTTTTTACCCCTTTCTCCGTGTCACTCGCAAACTTTCAACAACAGTTTTTCTTACCACATGGCATGGTTTTTGTTGATATTTTTGCTGTATGTTTAAGGTCACGAGTTGCTACGTGATATTTTAATTTCACTTGTGAAGTTTGTACAATTTTTATCATGCTGGTGTTGGCATCTCTTGCTCTGAATAAATCTTGTGTTGCAACACTGATTACGTCCTGTTCTTGTTATGACATGGAAACTGATTTGAGGAAAGTTAACAATGAGCCCAAACTCATGAAAAGATCACATTGACACTGTATACTATACTGTAATATTATATTTTTCTTCCTTCGTTGTTGGTTTGATTTGCCAATAATTAATTCATCACAGTTAACAGGGTGGGTGTTATTGACAGTGCAATTAACTTCACATTTTTAAGGGTTGTAAATGCCATTTTGAGATACACTATTTTTACTTTACTTAAATATGATACTTTATAGCCTACTTGTTCATTTAATCAGGTGTAAATGTTGAACTTTTTACTTCCAAAACTGTATTGTAGGACATATACCCCACAGATCCAGATTTAAAGTGCACCTATCATGCTATTTTTAGACATCATAAAGTGCATTTTGCATAGGTCCCCTTTTAAAGAAGATTAAAAAATCAACTTGTGATATGTTACCGTCTTTTGTCATAATGATTACCGTGATGCCAGCAGGGAAGGGAAAAGGAGTATTCAATGGATATTTAAATGTATTTTTGTCTTATATCAACATTTTAAAAAGCCTTATAATTTACTTTTGAATACGAAAACAACAAAAAACAGTAAAGCTATAATACATTTAAAAAACATGATGATTTAATTATTATGTAATCATTATAATTATTACTCAAAAAATGTAACAATTAGTCCAAAAATATTATTATTATTATTGTTATTATTATTATTTCTTTAAATATTATTATTATTTGTAGTATTAAACAAATATTATATTATTATTATTTTATGATATGCAGTAGCGGGGCTAAGACACTAGACGTCGCTAAATTGGCGCGCTCCTCTACTTTTCCCTCCTTTGTTGTACTTCCGGTTCATAAACACCTTTTCCGGTCTGAAACACAGCGGTGAAACACGACGTAAACAAACCGAGGAAACGTGTTTGTGTTGTGGTGGTTTGTTTAACGGTTAGTATTAACGGTTCTCGGATGAGCCGTTAGCCCGGGTTTGGTTCGTTGTTACGGTTGCGTAGTGACGGTTACCATGGTGAAGTGTGTGGTCTCGGGGTGTCCCAACCGCTCTAACGTTAACCCAGGAATCTACAACCACAGTCTGCCACCCAAGAGGTTCTTTAACTTCCCTGCAGACACAGCGAGGGTCAAGGTACGTTCATATATATGTCATTTATTTAATAAAGTTAATAGTCTTCCTTTCAGCAGTGTGAACCCGAGCATTTTGGTGTGGTTTCTAGGTACAAAAATGGCCCTAAAACTTCGAAATCGAGCCAGAATTAATAAAAAATAAAGCCCACCGGGAATACAAATACTGCCACTTTCTGCTTAAAACCGCAATTTTGTTTGTTAGAAATGTATTCAACATCCTTAATAACCCCCAAAACCACCTCAAAGTGGTTCAAATCGGCCAAGATTTGGGTTAAATTACTTTAAAACTGTAATTCCGTCATTATGAATAGTGGTAACTTTCCATGTGAGTTAACTGGACATTGGGGGATTAAGAAAAATGGGGTTGCTAGATTCAGGAAATGTCTTATGCAGATTTCAGCTCTTAGTTAGCTCTACATGAACACATGTAGAATAGAGCAACAGTAATAATGCTGGTGTTTTTGCACAATATCCTTTATTCTCTCTTCTAATCCCCCTGTCCTGTATAATCTGCATTCCTACTGTGATCATATAATACATATTTTGAAAAAATGTCTTCCTCCAGGTGTGGCTGGCGGCGCTGAGAGAGACGGAGAAGCAGGACTCAGCGGAGCAGAATCAAATCTGTGAGGACCACTTCCTGCCGGAGGACATCTCCACAGATGGGGTCAAAGGTGACGCCATCCCCATCATGCCCCCCTGTCTGGAGGGGCCCCTGGGGGTCATCAACCCCTGGGGGGTAGCGTCCTCTGAGGAGGAGGAGGACTGTGATCAAGAGGAGGAGGATGAAGAAGATGAAGGTCTGATGTACGTGGAGCCGCCGGCACCAAAACCTCCTGCAGTGGAGCCACCAAAGCAGGTATCTATCGTTTTTAAAGGTCCCCTATCATACTGTTCTTCATCAATATATCACAGGTCTCAGATATATACAGAGCCTGTCTCTGATTGGCTGAAACACCAAACAAATCATTGCAGCATTACCCATAATCCCCTCTGTTTCAGCCCTGTTTCCAAAGTGCTGATTCTCTGTTACTTTAGATGAAAATAAGGAGCCTGTCCCCACGCCCCTCTGAGAGACATTTGGTTACAAAGAACTCAATGGAGCTCTAGGAGGAGATTCAGGTGATAAGGGAGAGTTACATCATGTTGATGTAGAAGAGACATGGAGAAGAGGGGACACATGTTGATGTAGAAGAGACATGGAGAAGAGGGGACACATGTTGATGTAGAAGAGACATGGAGAAGAGGGGACACATGTTGATGAAGAAGAGACATGAAGAAGAGGGGGACACATGTTGATGTAGAAGAGACATGAAGAGAGGGGACACATAGTTGATGTAGAGAGTANTGGCCCAGTGGGTTCTGTGTAGGTGTTCGGATCAAGGGGTCACAGGTTCAAACCCCACTGCAGTCAGCATGTCGTTGTGTCCCTGAGACACTTGGGGTGAAGTGTCTCAGGGACACAACGACATGCTGACTGCAGTGGGGTTTGAACCTGTGACCCCTTGATCCGAACACCTACACAGAACCCACTGGGCCACACGCCTCCACACACAGGTCTTCTTATATTCGGGTCAATACTTAATAATTATTCCAAAAATGGGTCTTGAAAAAGAGGGGTTTTCTTATATTCGGGTCAATACGGTAATTTCCAAGGCCCAAGAGATGAGCAGGACGCACTCAGCTTGCTCTGCAGATGACACCTCCTCAATTTCTACCCAGCCTCCTTTGCTTCTAGATCCCTAAACGCCTTCCTTTGTGACATTTGTTCTGATTAAAAATGAGCCTGAGCTGAGGTTAAGCTTAATTATTATCCACCGTTAACGACGGAGCAGCAACAGCTGGCCGCAGACTGACACCCGCTGAACTTAGATTCTCAAGGTCGTTTTGTCTTAGCATTACGGCTCTGCTTTAAGGGAAATGTCAAACGCTCACTAGTGCTAACCTTTAGTGGATCGGGTCTGCAGGGAAACGTGAAGTGAAGTGGAAAACTGACTGTATATCCTTTCTACAATATTCCCTCCCAGAGTAAGAAAGGTCAGCGCACACGGGCCGCATCGTAAGATACAGTGGCTGGATGGATCTGTCTGAGAACTGTCACTGTAATGAGGCTATTTTTATATCTCTTTATATATTCATAGGCAATATGAATGTTGAGGTTATAAAGTTAGGAAAACGGTATCAATGCAGATGGCTCCGTATGTTCTATGGCGCAGATTTGTTGGTACATTTTCAAGTTAAATTACTCATAAATTAGTCAACAGAGACAGATACAACAACTCTATTAATCAATTAATCATCAAAAGTAATATGTCCACATTTTTCCAGCATCAAAAGGCAGCTGTTTTTGTTTTATTGACACTATCCGGGAAACAACACCTAGTTGAAAAACTGTGCTAAATGTTGATCATTGTAACCCTAACCCTAGCTGTCTACAAATCCAGGGGTGTGTTCCAATACCTTCAAAATTGCGTTTATTTTTCTTCTTACGTATTCTGTACTTTGTAAGTGCAGCCGCAGGTTGTATTAAGGTAAAAGTGTGCAAAGCTTGTTGCAACTTAATCGAGCATAAAACTAAAGTACAGTATCTGAATCTTGTCAACGTGACAAAGGGGAGACCATAGTCGACTTTGAATCCTCAAATTGTCCGAAACGTTCCTACAAATGAATCCTAATTTGAATAGGTGTCTGCTGGAAGTGTAAACAGGCAACTGGTTTCCAAACAAGTACTGTATATCATAAATGCTTGACATATCCTCAAAAAATGTAATGTTCTCTCTCATTAATGTCACAAAATTAACTGGTTTTCATCGTCATTCTGTTTGTCCTTTCCTTCTCGACCGCTCGGGTTCATAATGGATTTATTTAGCTTGTTGGCGGTGAAACACATCTCTGTGACTGGATGTGATGAAGGTTTCTGGCTCTCTTCCATCAGAGAGAGGTTAGGAGCTAATTTAAGAGCCTTATTTAGTCAATTGATTGCAAAGATACTTTTTGGAGGGTACTATTCAAAGTTCCCTGCTGAAACTTCCCATTATTCATGTTTAAAGATAACAAATCGTACTTGATTGGCTCCTGGTCGTCCTTTTCCTCTTTGCTGTGGAGGATTTTGATGCCGCTCTTCTTGGCTCGTGGACAACCGGACAAACTGCGGGACAGAAGACACACATAAATATAAAAACCGGTACAGGGGAGTACTGATTATTTCATTTGTTGCATCTCCAAGCATGACTGCAGCCAGTTGTTGTCTAAAGCGTGGTTACTGCACCTCCTGTGGGAGGCATAGTTTCCAGTGATGTGTCCAGATCCATCGCAGCCGGGGGTCGGACACCTGAGGCACAAACAGAAGCGTTAAAAAACGGCCCTGAATTTACCACCATCCAGGCCTGGTCTGCGGTCAAATCATCTTAGAATCCATCTTTCTTGGGAAGATTGCTAACGAACTGTACTAGCTGTACGAATTGTTTTAATGCTAACTATGCCAAGATCTTTGTTTTGATCTGATTCCTGTTTTATTTTCAAGGTCTGGGGTCATATCATCCTAGAATCAATTTTTCTGAGGAAGATTCCTAATGAGCTATACTAGCTGTACGCACTTTTTTAACGCTAACAATGTCAAGATCTTTGTTTTAATCTTTTGTCTGTTTTATTTTGAAGGTCTGCGGTCAAATCATCTTGGAATCCATGTTTCTTGGGAAGATTCCGAACTAACAACTAGAACGAACTTTTCTATGTAAAGATCCTTGTTTTTGATCTGATTCCTGTTTTATTTTGAAGTTCTCTCCCACTGTGTCTTGTTACTTCCTGTCTTTGAGTGTTTTCCCGCCTGTTTTGATTGTCTTTCCT